TTGACACATACCTACACAGTAAGTACGCCTTAATATGTGTATCAGATTCTGAAAAAATGCAAATTTCAAAATTACGTATAACTTTTTTGTATGTATCTTTAGTTATATAATACATGTTAAACAAACACATTTTAAGCTTTTAATGTGTTATTTCTGCTGCTTTGTTCATTAAAAAAGGTGTTCCTTTTAAGATGGTCATCCGCCTATAATAGACTATTTGTCGCAGTCCCGCCGAGTTCACTATAAGCGGGTTGCACTGTAATTAGGTAGCTAAAACATAACTGACATGTTTATAAATTTCTGGGCTCGCTCGCTCCTCAAACTAGATTTGTAAAATACTATTAAGGCTTCTAATAAACACTTATCCTATATTCTAAATGAACCACCTATAGGGTGTCTTCCAAGTTGAGTCATTTAGTTTAGCTGCTTGTAGAAATCGTTAAAAGGAGTTGATATACCAAAAACCACCTATATAAAAAGAGATTAAAAAATTAAAAACTAAAAAAAAAGCAAGAATGTTAATACAAACGTTTTTTGATATTCTCGACCATTGCCATGTAAAATCTTAGCGTTTTCTGTTCACTACTCTTATCGTTTATCTAAATTTGGCAAAGCTTTTGTGTTATTGTATGGTTGTCAGGCTTTGGTATAAAAAATTGCCCATGTTAACGAAATCAATAAACTAGCGGACATAATACTAACATACGGAGAGTGACAACAGAATGCAACCGCAGCATGCCATGTTGTACATATATGCGGAAAGGTTTCCTTTAAGAAATCATCCGGTCCTTCGGGTGTTTCTAAATTTAGTTATCAGACTTCTTGACACAGGATATTTAAAATAACAACGAGGAAGACCTGCCCAACCTAAAATGTTCAAATTCAAATTCAAATTCAAATTCAAAATATTTATTTCGTCATGAATAAACATCATAAACAAAAGAAATTCTACATATAGAGTAATGACGAAAAAGGACAGTCTCTCGATTATAAAACCGATACATTGGACCCTTTAATACAAAGAGGCCATGCGAGAAAGCCCTGAATACCCTAAAAGTTCTTAAACAAAATAAAAAATACAATAAAGAGGCAAATGAAGAGGCGGTGGAACACAAAAAAGGCAAAAACGAAGAGAGAACCCCCGGGAGCTGGCAACGGACGCGAAAAACAAATCTATACAACTTGTCAGCGAGTAGGAATGTAAAAACGTTATTTTTGCTCACACAAACGCTGCTAAAGTAGCTGGTGATTCTGTAACAACATTTTTGTCAGTTTTGAGAATGTTTTTGACGATGAGCTTTTAACTGAAGTCGGTAAATTATTCCATAAGTGAACCGCCACATAGGCAAAAGATTGTCGGAAGGAACGCGTTCTATGCCTAGGTACGATAAAATTGAGATTATTTCTACTTCTCTGGGCACTAGGCAAAGGCACAAATCTTTCTCTTAAATAGGGCGGTTGACCTGTTTTTATAACCCTATAGATAAAAGAATACATGTGATATTTTCTGCGATTCGTCATGTTTAATATGTTGTAGTTATTCAGATAAGGAGTGATATGGTTTCGATATGGAATTCCAAATGCAAATCTCATGCAACTATTTTGAACTTTTTGTATGCATTTTTTGGTTCGCGACGATAGCGAATCACCATAGACGACATCTCCATAGTCAAAAAGTGATAAAATTAAGGTATTACACAAATAATATTTTTGTTTGGCTGATAAATGTTTTTTTAATTTGTTTATATTTTTTAGTCGCATGTAAGCTAAATTTGTTCTGTTTTTTATATGACTGCCGAAGCCAAGCGAGCTATCAAATATAATGCCTAGATTTTTTGTCTCCTGAACTATGGGGATTCTGTCATTGTTAATAGAAATTACTAGATTTTGTTCAAAATGTTCTCTTTCAATACTGTTTTTATTCATAACCATTACTTGCGATTTTGAGGGGTTTAGTTTAAGATTGTGATGCTTTGCAAATGTGTCAATTCTTTGGAGATCTGAATTTAGTTGTTGTTGTGCAATATGGATTGTGGTTTTATTGACAGGGAGATATATTTGTGAGTCATCTGCATATTGTTTTATCTTTGCGAATTTTACCGATTTGACCATGTCAGATATGTATATTGAAAATAGCAAAGGAGATAAAATTGAACCTTGAGGAACTCCTCTTTTATAGGTTTAAAATCGGTTTTGTAAATAGCAGAATCATTTGCTAACATAACACAGTTTGAACGGTTACTTAAGTATGTTTTTATTAGATTTACGGAGTTCTTCGAAAACCCCTGGTAATGTAACTTAGCTAGTAACATTTCATGATTCAGAGTATCGAACGCTTTACTAAAGTCGAGAAGAACCATGCACGTACTATTTTTTTGTTCTTGATGATGTCTGATATCATCCAAGATATTAACTAATGATGTACTTGTGCTAAAGTTTTTTCTAAAACCGGATTGACTATCTGGTATGATATCGTTTGTGTCACAAAAAAACCTAATTTGATTATAAATATGCCTTTCTAAAATTTTGGATGTAGCGGGTAATATGCTAATAGGCCTCAAGTCTGTAAATTCTTTAGGTTCTGCTATTTTTGGTAAGGGTTTAACAATAGCTTTCTTCCATATTTCTGGAAATAATCCCCCCAAAATACATGTGTTGATTATATTCAGCAAGGCATTCGTACAAAATGGGATACATAACTTTAGGTCTCTCATAGAGAAACCATCCTCTCCAATGGCATTTGATGAGATATTAGTTGATTAGACTGGCCCTGTCTAACAGTTGGAAGCTAAGAGAATCGTTAATGTTTACATTGTTTTTGTAAAAATTGATTAATTCTTGGGAAGCAGTGTCTGGTAAATTGTCGGTCTGCTGGAAGTAATTGTGTATGTCATTTACATTTTGTAAGTGTTCGGGTTTAGTTGAGTGAGTTTTCTTGCATGTTATGTTGAGCTTTTTGGTAGTGTCCCAAAATTCCTTACCTTTCTTTGTTGAGAGTAAGTTAAAGAATGTATTTTTTTCTCGGATAATTGCATGCTTTGTATAGTTCCTTAGTTGTTTGTAATATTCAAAATGAGCCTGTGATTTTGATTTTTGAAATTTTTTATGAGCTTTATCTCTTAGTCTGATTAAAATTCTTATATTTTGAGTTATCCAGGGTACATAAGGTTTTTCGGTTATTTGTTTTGTTTTTATTGGAGCATGTTTATTCAGAATAGTTACTATATTTTTATTAAAGACTTCTATTTTTCGGTCGATTTGGTTTATATAGTAAATATCCTCCCACCCAAGTAGAAACCCTTCATTTAAGAAGGATTCTCTATCTATATTATTGTAGTCTCTATATTTAATAGTCTTTTGTGATTTATTTATTTTTGACTTTCGAAAGGCTGAGTAAATTAAGTTATGATCTGAGAGATTTTGAGAAACCGCCAATGATTTAGAATCGATAGAGATAAGATCCTCACTAGCACAGATTATATCAATGAGGCTAGCCTCTCTTGTGGCAAAATTGAATCTTGTTGGCTCACTGATCCTTTGTGATAAGTTAAAACTATGAATTATATTTTTGAGACGATTTGTGTATGCAGAATTATTTAAAATGTTAATATTTAGATCTCCTATCAGTAATAAATAATCATATTTGACACTGACAAAACCGAGAAAAATTTCTAAGGAGTCTAAAAAATAAGTGACACTCTCAGAAGGCGAACGATAACTATTAACTAAAAGATAAGTTTTTCCACCTATCTTAAATTCTATACCTATGGTTTCTGCACAGTTAATTTGCACATTTACCCTAGAATATTTCAACCCGCTTTTTATGTATAAAGCTACCCCTCCTCCTCGACCCTGCCTATCATTCCTTATAAATTTGTACCCAGGCAAGCAAAAACTCTCACTTCTTAAAGTTGGATTGAGCCACGTTTCAGAAACTCCAAAAATATCAAAATTGTATTCTGTCATATAATTACAGAACTCGTCAAATCCAGAATTTATGGATCTGATATTTAGATGTCCGACTGTGAAATGGTTTTGATGTGGACTATCAAATATTGATTCATCATTAACACTCTCCACTCGCTGACCCATGTTATCATTATCCATTATCCCTTATTTCCTCACTATTGCCAGTCCCCGAAGACCAATCCCCGTCATCCCCATGCCCCCGCGTCAACCTATAACCTCTATGTAACACTATTACAATTTTGTTCTTATTTAATTTTGTAAACGAGACTAAACCTAACAACCTAAAAATAATTGCCATTCTTAAGTATACATGCGTACTTTCATACATACCCTCACAGCAATGCGTATATCTGTGGCATTAGCAGGTCCAGAGACACAATTTATGTTTTCCCAAAAATTATCAGAATTAAGTCCATAACTTGCTGCGAAAAAATAAAAACTGAAACCACTGCCACATCTTTTGAGGTTTTTCCAAAAAACAACGAATATACGAATGAAACAGAAATTCATTATTTATTCTCTTAATTTAATTATTCTTGACATGTATTTTGAAATTAGGCATTTTTATTTTATTTAGTGTCCATAAAATTACTGTAAATTGGCAAAGTATATGTGTATGGACTAATAAATTCGTTTAAAATTATTGCATAACAACATTGTGATTCGTACTAATTATTATTAAACAATTATTTCTTATTTTTTTAACCTAAAAGTGTAAGAAGAAAAATAATAAAAGGCGAAAAGACGAGTACTGATTAACCCGTAACTGGTGATGCGGGGTCGTGAGAGCCCCAGCAGATTTTAAAAATGACGTACGTCTTAGGTTATTTCGCCTAGCCGGTCGACCGCTTCAGTACCTTTCAGTCAGTGTCTGGTGTGATAGCCGAAGGGATAGACGTGAGTAAATCGGTAAGTGTTTACAAATTATACTGAATTTATTGCGCAGTGGGGTCACTATGACCCCGCCTCACTAGTTACGTTTTTTTCAGATATCCTTGGAAATTAGTTTGTTTTTTGCATTTTTAGAGAAAATGGACCTGTCACGTATTAATAAAATGAAAATCAATGATCCCAGATTTGAACAATGGGCTCAAAGTATATTAGAGGCGGAAGAGAGTGACTTTAGCGGGAATGATGACTCTCATAATGATCCCGATTATGTCAGTGAACACGAAAGCGATTCAGAAATTGAATGGGAGCCGGAAACCGTGGCACTGGAAACTACACTGGATGTTTCAGATACTACCTCACAAAATGCAGCACCTTCCAACGAGCACCAACAAATTCCAACTTCAACTCCGAGAACGAACTATGGTAAAAATCGATACAAATGGACTGCAGATGCTCCACCTTCAAATGTAAGAACCAGAAGTCATAATATTATCTCTCATCTTCCCGGAGTTATTGGACCAGCTAAGTCTCTTGGAAAATTGTGTCTCGAGAAAAGTGCCTGGGAATGCCTAATAACAAGCGATATTTTAGATGAGATTGTTCTCAGAAGTAATGAAAAACTTGCCAGAATTAGAACCAAATATGCTGATGGTAATAGAACGGACCTTAGGGATTTAGATGTTATCGAATTAAAGGCTTTTATTGGATTGCTATTTTATTCAGCTATTTTTAAATCCAATAATGAAGACTTAAAATTCGATATTTGCTACCGATGGTACTGGTAGAGAAGTTTTTAGATGCACCATGTCACTAAAACGTTTCCAAGTACTTTTGACAGCGCTTAGGTTTGATGACCACATTACAAGGGAAGACCGTAAAAAAACTGACAAACTGGCCCCCATTTCATCAATTTTCATCAAGTTTACAGAAAACAGCAAGAAGATTTTTTCCATAGGGCAGTATGCTTGCATTGATGAAATGCTTATTGGTTTTCGGGGGAGATGTGTATTTCGCATGTACATGCCTCAAAAACCCCGAAAATATGGCCTAAAAATAATGGCACTAACTGATGCTCGAACTCATTATTTTCTGGATGGGTATGTATATACAGGTGCTGGAAGTGACGGTCAAATATTGTCAGAAGAGGAAAGAAAATTTAACAAACCAACGCAATCAGTTCTTCGTCTGGTAAGATCTATTGAGGGTACTAACCGTAATCTAACAGCGGACAATTGGTTTACATCATTAGAAGTTATAACTGAGTTGCAGAAGCGAGGCCTAACTTACGTGGGAACTGTTAAAAAAAATAAGAGAGAGATACCTGCTTCTTTTTTGCCAAACAAAAGTAGACTTACGGACTCTTCCCTATTTGCATTTGGCGATAGAGTTACACTAGTTTCTTATGTACCAAACCACGAAAAGCGGTACTTTTGATGTCTTCAATGCACTACAGTAAGACAGTAAATAATGAAACAAAAAAACCAGAAATTATTGAATTTTATAATGAAACCAAAGGAGGCGTCGATGCATTAGACGAAAAATGTACAGTGTATGCTACACATCGCAGGAGTCGAAGATGGCCTCTAACTATTTTTTATACCATCTTGGATATTTCTTCCGTTAATGCATTTATAATATACTCATGTTTACCTGGAAATCCTCAGAAGTCGAGGTATGAATTTAACAAAAGTTTGGCGCGACAGCTTGTTCAGGATCATATGGAAAGAAGAGTAACTACTTTTCAAATTCCAAGGCAATTGAGATATAATATAGCCTCTATTTTACAGAAAGACGTGCCTGAACCGTCAAATGATGTTTTAACAAAAAGGGTAAGGTGCTCTAAATGTCCAAGATCATTAGATCGGAAAACCAAGATTGTTCGCGCTAGTTGCAAAGCACCTATTTGCCATGTATGTGAAACACACATTTGTAAAGATTGCTTGTAAGAATGACTTGCAATCTTTATGTTAAATTTTGTTTATGTTTATATTTTGTTGTTTGTAGGGTACATTGAACCTATATGTTTAGTTTTTAAGAAAAAAAAATGTTTATGTTAGCTCATTTTATAATTACAGGGTAGTTATTACGTTATTAATGAAATACCTGATTTTTGAGGCCGTTTCTTGATTTAAGTGTTTTTTGTGTTATTTAAGTTGATAAACAAATGTTTTCTGCGTTAGCGTTATCAGAAAATAAAGGTTTTTCAGTTATCAAGGCAGATTTTTTTTAATATAAAAACAATATTGACTTTTGCAAAAAAAAATGCGGGGTCACCATGACCCCGCCTCACCATATACGGGACAAAAAATGGACCTCACCAGTTACGGGTTAAGCCACATTCAAAGTAGTTAATACTAATACATTTTTTACGATTAGAAATAACGTCTAACACTGCCTACTTTGAAAACATCTACAGTAATGTTACCTTCATGTTAGAATGCTGCAGCACCCGTCCCTCAAATGTTACAAATTGAGGAAGAATAGGTCGAAGACGACCCAACAAGAGCCATAGCATCTCAAGGTGAAGTTTCTTACAGTAAAGTGTGGAAGACGATACGACAAGAACAGTATCCGGATCGTCATCAACGTACAACCGTTACAACCTGAAGATCATCCTAGAAGAGTTGCATTTTAGAACAGTTCGGCAGAAATGAAGATTTTACGAAATTAATTTTGTGTAGATACGAAATGGAGTGCACAATATCCACAACAATCATGTTTGGGCAGTAGAAAATCCGCATGCTGTTAAAAGAGCTCATTTTCAAAATAAACTTTCGTTAAATGTTTGGGCTAGCGTGGTAGATGAGATGTTTATTGGACCCCACCTTTTTCCACCTCGACTGAGAAATTCATGAACATCTAAATAACGGGTTTCTGAATAGGTGGAAGTTGAGCAATGGACCCATTCCCTAGCCTGCTCGCTCCCCGGACTTCTTTCTGTGGGGTTATTTGAAAGAGTTGGTGTACCATGATGAAGCCGTGAATGCTCTGAAAGAACTTCAACAGCGCACTGAAAATGCCTGTGATGTAATTTGTGGACACAGGATTTTATTTTCGAAGCTTTTGAAGAGTGGAGATTTCATCGAGCAAGATTTTGCATTTATCGAACAAACAGGGACAATTTTGAACAGTTTTTGTAAAAACGGTATCCATTTAACTTAATAATGATTGTTTTTATATATTTTTTTATAATGTAAACTAAATCTCGAATTATGCAACTTTTATATAGGTGATTCTTGATCTACCACCTTCTTTTGACTAGTTCTACAAGCTGTTAAAATAAATGACTCAACTTTGAATGAATGAAGTATCTTTCAATTTGGCAGATTTCCAAAAAATCATCAACACGTTATGAGTACATTGTAATATTGTTCTTTTGACAAAGTATATCTAAATGTACAACATAATATTTATTAACGTTGTGTTTGAAAAAAATAACATTGAAAAAAAATGTGCCATTATACATTCGGATAGATCCCTCCAAGATAAAAAGGTTGACATTACAAACTATAATGCTTTGATGATTTGTTAAGCGACCCAATATACAAGGACGCTCAACTTTGACAGTCCGCAATTTTGAATGAATGTTATATTTTAGGATTATACAGCAATGATCAGAAGCAAAAAATAAAACTCCCCATTCCATTTCAAAAAATGGCGGCCAGCCGCGATCTTGAAATTTTAAATTAGCATTTTTATACATGCATCAATTTCATTACCCCTAATTTTGACTTGCTAACTGTACTAGTTCGAAACATAAGTAGATGGATGTCTTTCTGAAACGCACTTTATGTTTTATATTCCAGTGTGAAAAATGCTAAAAATTGTGAAAATGGGGTTTTAAAGAACAGCCAAGGACTAAAATAAATCGAAAAATGCTGATGAATGCTTAAAATACATATGTTCTGAAATACTAGAAATTTCATTAATGAAACCCACTTAAACCTGGCGTTGTATTCAAAGCCGAAATGCGACTTTAAGTAATTTTATCCATTGTTCCATTCAAGAGCAGGATTGCGTTACTCTAAGATCTTGTAATACGAGCCCCTTCCCACTTCAGTTGGCCCAATTCACGATTTGTACCAAAATATACCTATATAAACTAATAAACAATTTATTTTCTCAATAACATTTTAGATACAACAAAGCAAGAATTGAAAGATATTACCATTGGGTAACATCACCTTTATTGTTTATTACGGCTGAAATTCTTTGGGGATTAGTGTTATCCAAGTTTTGGCAAATATTTGGTGTAAAACAATCCCATATTTCTTGAAGCTTTTGTCTCAGTTCAGTGATTGTACGAGCAGGATGTTGTCGTAGAACCTTTTTCATCTCGTGCCACAAAGTTTCAATAGGTGACAGATCTGGACTGCTAGAAACCCATTTCAAAGGTGGTACATTATTTTCTTCCATCCATTCTATAACCTTCTTTGAGGTATGGCACGCTGCACCATCTTGCTGAAACACAAAATCTTGGCGGGATGTCAAACATTCTTCCATCACTGGTAAAAGCGATTCTTCTAAAATTGTCAAATACTTGTTTGTATCCACATTTCCATCAATAAAATGAAGTTTTCCTATTCCTTTTGATGACCTACTGCCCCAGACTACAAGGGATGCTGGAAATTTCACTTTTCTCTTCAGACAGTCAACATGGAATGTTTCATTTTTTGCGAATAACTCTCTACTGCGACTGTCACCAACACAAACTTCGAATCGGGCCTCATCACTCCATTGTATTGCACACCATTGTCTATGTTCTTTAGCCCATTTAAGCCGATTTTTCTTTTGCAGTCGAGTTAATAGTGGCTTCTCTTTGGCCTATAAACGAGTTGTGCAACTTTGGGGTTTTTACTTCACTTTTTTATAAGAAAACTTACCTTGCAAGTCCTGAATCCCAGTTTGTGGGCCTCTCTATGAGTTGTGGACCTCGAAATTCTCCTTCCAACAGCGTCACTCCACAGAGCACTCAATCGTAAATAATTGGCACGCCTGTTTTTCACGACTATTTTTCTTAATGCTCTTCGGTCGGCATTTGTTATATTACTTTTTTCACATATCGTGGCTTAATATTAACTGGACCAGTTACGTTATATTTTCTAACAATATTTCTCACACTGTACCGCGATAAGTCTAACAAAGTTGCAATTTCTGAGCTTGATGTCCCAGAATCAAAAAAATTGTATTATCAGTAATAATAACCTTTCCTCTACCCATTTTAAAAACGTATTCTGACAGCTGTGATTAATAAAAACAATTGTCATGGCTTTTATTTTTCACAGCCACCTATGCGTTATAGACTTATTTTGCATTGAAGTGAAAATAGGTTGATATGCTGTTATTGCAACGTGTGTTATTTTTATGCTGCTAATTTGATTAGGGAGTGATAATATTGGTGTTTTCTACTATATATTGTCAAAATGTTCATTGAAAATATTCTAAACCTATAACACCATGTTACATGTTTATTATTTGTGTTTGATAAGAAAAAAACTAAGAATTCAATAGTTGGGCCAACTGAAGTGGGAAGGGGCTCGTAGATAGTATTGAATAGTATCATCTCATTAATTTTAAACTTTAGCATTTACTGTTGCGGAAGCTCATGAAAGCATAGCAACCATCTTCTATCCAGGAGATACGGTCTGCCGAAACGAGACAGCGCAACCAATTTAGATTTAGCTGATTCAAATTTAAGACCAGTTTCTCCCTATCGTGATGCCCAATATTTATGCTTATAATCAAACCCTGAATAGCCGGCTACTCCGAGGGTAACTAAACATAG